ATTAGTTTTTCTTAATTTTGTGGGGTTTTATATGTACCTTTCCTTTAGTTTGTATAATTTGGATTGAAGTTAATGAGAGTTATATGGACATGAGAGAGTTGTGTGTGTGTTTTGATAGTGAGACTAAGTTTTGTGCATTTTAAGTTTGTTTGAGAGAGTTTTTATTGGCTTTAAATATATGAAAGTGTTGGAGGGGGGGCATTATTAAGTGTTTTTGGATAACGTTGTTGAATTTTAAGTGAATTGTGATAGAGTTTATGTGAATGTTTTTTAGATTCGATGAGAGTAAGTTTTGTGAATTTGAAAATTGTTTTCGTGAGTTTTTGTTAACTTTTAATGATTGCTTTGAGTTCATGCATATGCAAAGCTTGAATAACATTTTTAGTTCATGGCATGTGCAAAGTTTGAATGTTTTGTTTGATGTGGAATGAGTTAAAATTGGAAGTTTGTTTGAATGGAAGTAGTGAGTTTGTTTGAATAGAAGTGGTGAGTTTGTTTGAAGTGTTAAGTTATTAAGTGTTTTTGGATAACGTTGTTGAATTTTAAGTGTATTGTGATAGAGTTTGTGTGCATGTTTTTTAGACTTAGTGAGAGTAAGTTTTAATGTTTACTTGAGTTCATGCATATGAAGTGAGAATAACATTTTTAGTTCATGGCATGTGCAATTAGTTTGTTATGTGTAATGAGTTAGAATTAGAAGTTTGTTTGAATAGAAGTGGTGAGTTAACTTGTGGAAGTATTTGTTAACATAAATTTATTTGTTATTTATTTTTTCAGGTTAGTTCGATTTCTGTATCGAAAGTTTCTGAAAAGTTGATTATCTCTCGTGAAGAATTTGATGATATGAGACATTTTCATATGTTTATGTTTTTTATTTGAGACTTCTTAGAATTTGTTTAATTTTTGTTTGTATGAAATTCTTGTAGTTTTTGTAAAACTAAATTTTATTTAATATTATAAGTTTTATATTAAATTCAATGTATGGCAAGGTTTATTGTTGAAAAAAAAAAATAAATAACCCTTCGGAGACGAAAAATGATTTGGTCGCCGAAGGTCAGAAACCTTCGGAGACGAAAACAGATTTGGTCGCCGAAGACACCTTCGGCGACCAAATTCGTTTTCGTCTCCGAAGGTTTATGACCTTCGGCGACGACTTTGAATTTGGTCGCCGAAGATATCTTCGGTGACCAAATCTACCTTCGGCGACGAAAAATATAAATCGTCGCCGAAACCCTCTGGCGATCGGGTAATGGCGAAGATTTAGGCGACGACTTTGTTTCGTCGCCAAAGACCTTCGGAGACGAAATTTGACCTTTTAGCAACGAATATTGTCGTCGCCGAAACTCCGAATTCTTGTAGTGACACAATCTTAAGTACAAACCCTAGTATCTCATAACTCTTTCAACTCTTCAATTAATGGTTGTAAGTAAACGTCAAAATCTTTTCTAGGTGACTTCGACCTAAGAATAAGCAATGACATTAATAAATTACTTTCCTTCATGCACTTCCAAGGAGGCAAATTGTATGGAATAAGTACCACTGGCCACATGCTATACGAATTGTTCATATTCCCAAACGGATTAAACCCATCTGAAGCTAGTCCCAAACGAACATTTCGTGGGTCTGAAGCAAATTGAGGAAATGTGTTATCTAGATGCTTCCACCCCAAAGCGTCAACTGGATGTCGTAAGACACCCTCTTTCTTAACTTGTTTTTCTGTATGCCACCTCATTTCAGAAGCAAAATGTTTTGAAGAAAAGAACCGTTTCAATCTTGGTATCAACGGAAATTATCGTAACAGTTTTTAGAGGACTTGTGAAGCTTTTCCATTACTGTTTTTATAACGAGATTCACCATATACTAGACAACTTTGATATTCAGAATATTCTTTCCTAAATAATATACAGTCATACTTGCAGGCATGTAGGGGCTCATATGAAAGTCCTAAATCACACAGTCTCATTTTAGCCTCGTATGATGTACTAGGTATAGATGCAACTATCGTAAGTGCTTCGTTTAACAATTTAAGTAACATATCAAACGATTTATTACTCCAATTGTTAATGACCTTGATATGCATCAACTTTACTAAAAAATTCAATGATGAAAATTTTGTACAACATGGGTACAATTGACTACGTGCTTCAGTGAATAACTGCTCTAAATTGTTAGACGTGTCTCTTCCATGTTCGTTTGAGGGCGTCTCAAAACAAAATTATTCACTTTCTACATTTTCTTCTACAATGGGGCATTGTAAATCGTTGAGAAGTCGAGACATATCACAATCTTCATTATTCATAACATTGTGTTCTCTACTTAATTTATTGTGCGAAAGAGCTTCACGTCTTGTATAACAACTTGAAGGGGTTGGTTCTTCTCCATGATATATCCATTGAGTATATGATGTGATATTCCATTTATAAACAAGTGTCTTTCTATTCCATCAATTGAATGTCACTTTACATTCATACAATATCTACATGGACATCTTGTTTTTCCTGTATTGTTGACGTGAAGTTTTGCCAATTTTATGAAATGTTTTACTCCTTCTACATACCCAGGCTAGAATCAATCTCTAACCTTAGTCCAATTCTTGTTCATTCTCGATGACAATATTGTTTAAAGAACGTCTAATTCAGTATAAATGGTCAATGTTGAATCCTAAAAGAACCAGACAAAAGATTAGGTTTATTTTGTCATAAACCTAAGATATTTTGAAAATAGAAATATCTAAAATTTATTTTCAAAGTGAGATGATGATGATATGAGTGTGGTCATTATTGTCGAGGATAAATGTTGTAGTCAAAAGTAAAAAAGTTTGAAAGTATTATTGAGAGCTGAGATATATCCATGAAATATAGCCACTCAGAGAAAAGATAACTAAGATATACTTAAAAACTCACCTAAATATTTCTATGTTTTGCATATTTTTTTTAAATATTTTTAAAAGCTAAACTAAAATCTAAGCTCTTAGTTTAAAATTTAAAATCTAAGCTTCTTATAAGAATTTAAAAAAATCTAAAATAACATCGCTCACAACCAGAATAACCAAAATAACGAATTCACAATTCATTGTAAATTCAAAACTAACAACAATAAAATCACAAAGAACACCACTTTCGACGACGAAATATACATTCCGTCGCTGAAACTTTGTCATGGGAACGGTCCAATTATTGCTTTCGATTTTCAAAAATGGTTGGGAAAATTTAGTTTTCCCGAGTTTTTGCATACAATCGGACTTTTCCAAACGATTTCAATAAAAGTCGGGAAAACTAAATTTTTCCCGACTATTTTTTGAAAAACCGTCGAGAGTGACATTTCTCGACGGGCTTTGCTCGACATTTTTTCCAATGCATTTATTTCATTGGAAAAAAAGTTACTCCCAACTTTTTAAAGGGTTTTCCTGACGTTTTGTAGCGTCGGGAAAAACCTTGTTTAAACATTATGGAAAAGTGTAGTTCTTCAACTTATCATGATGTTTAAAAAACGTCGTAAAGTCAAAAATTCGGAAACTTTGTCTTTCCTTGCCAAAAGCATGGCCTCTCTTTTTTGTGAGGTTTAAAAAACATCACAAAAAATGTGTTTTCTTCTAACTTTTTGTGACGGTTAAAAAAAAGTCACGAAAAGTAAAAAAAATCAGAAAACTCAGTCTTTTTGTGCAAAAATCACGCCTCATTTAAAATGTATTTTTTTTCAACTTTTCATGGCGGTTAAATTAAAAACATCACGAAAAGGTATAAATCCAGAAAATCCGTTTTCCCTACAAAAGAAAATATGTTTTTTACTTTCTGTGACGTTTCTTTTTTAATTTTCAACATTTTTACTACTCACTAATGTCATGAAAACTCGAAATTGTAGTATGTACACACGAAGCCTCGCAGCAGCAAAAATGAGCATAAACTCCCAAAACAAACCACAACAGTACTGTTCTCAGAAGTCCAATTTATTTTTTATACATGCGAGCATCTGTAACCAAAAACAAAAAAGAATGAACTTTTGTTCAGCATAAATTAACCAGGTAGGTCCACTGTGTCTCTCTTTTTGGGCATCACCTGCAGCCCATTCTCCATCCTCAACGTTAGTGAAAGCATTTGCTTTGGAGCTTTCTCCTTCTCCACCATTTCCACATGAAACCTCTCAATCACAGCAGCAACTATGGACTTCATCTGAATAAAGGCCATGTCCTTCCCCAGACACATCCTCGGGCCGGCGTGAAACACCGGGAATCGGAACGGGCTCTCCATCCGGCAGACCCCATTCTCGA